TCTCTCTCTCTCTCTCTCTCTCTCTCTCTCTCTCTCTCTCTCTCTCTCTCTCTCTCTCTCTCTCTCTCTCTCTCTGTGTTTCTCTCTCTCTCTCTTCGATTTAATAGTGTGAACAAGGGGGGTGAACTGTACGACGGATTATTCGACGTGTGTTCAATGTGTTCAAGTGCTTTACCGGTAGAGCTTCTGTGAGTGAGTCCCCAAAAGCTTCTGTGAGTAAAGGGGGTGAATTGTAAGAGGGATCATTCGGTGTAAAGGGGGTAACTGTTATTGTTGGTGGTGCTCAAAAAAAGAAGTGTCGAGCAGTTGAGGAAAACGAGTAGGTTGGTGGATGGATGGGTCTGTGCAATTGTGGAGGGGATATAGGTCGCGTGTACAGGTGTGCAATCTTGGATCATTTGTTCGCCTTAGACCTTGAATCTCCTTATTGGTCTTGATCAAATCAGGTCGTTATTTGCCCAATTCCCGTTTCGTTTTTTCGCTGAGAGATCGATGCATTAGCTATCTTATCAAGTAATTAATACTGGTATGCTAGGAGCCTACCGTCTTCACCGGACTATTAGTAGAACGCCCGGTCATTATAGCTGTATTTGGGCCAACTTCCAGTCTAGATACAGCGATAATTAGCTGGCGTTCTGTTCGTGTGAAGCAAGTACGAAAAAAAATGCTAACTTGATGTTAATGTTTTTGATTGTCGTCTTTCGAAATATTCGCAGTTGGGAGGGGGTACTATTCCGTGCAAGGCTTTGTGTATAATTCGAGAGAGCTACCGCGTTGTGCTAGCTAGCTGAAAATTATGTGTTTCTTTTTTTTTTTTTTTTGGAAAGTCACAATATTTATATTGCAAAATCATAGGAAAGAGGCTGGGGACCTCACAATTCGACCCGGGATTGATGTGTTTCTTGCGTTGAGGGTTGGTTGCGTTTTAATTTCCGCGGAGAGACGTTGGCGAGGGACATGGTCGTTATTTCCCCAATGATTTATGGACCCGTTTTTCGATAAAAGATCGGGAAAACGTGGCACGTGTTTCAGCCATTAGAGAAATGGTTTCTGTGCACGCCGTTTTTTTTTTGGCTGTTACTCACACGAGGACCTTTTCTACTGACCTCTGGCGGTAACTACGGTCAGATGCATTCAGGTCTGGCCGTAAATATATTCAAATACGTTTAACAAAGGCGAAGTGTGATTTTTTTTTTTTTTCATTCTTGCGCAGGGGCCATTGATTTAGTCTGTATCGTTCCTATATTAACAGATGTCCCGAAAAACCGAAGTGTGATTATGAGTTTTTTTCTTATCCGACGATGGCATTTGAAAACGTCGACATGTCCTTGGGGACATCCGTTAAAATTGGAACGGTACAGAGAAGATTAACATGAACCCTGCGCAAGGGTGACACGCATTAAAAAAAAAAAAAA